TTTGGCTTTTTACGAAATGATATGCAAAAAGTAGAGAGAAAAGAGAATGTTTGACTTTTTTATATGAGTTGTTGACTTTTTGATTAATTTAATAACTTTTTGACTTTTTGATTAAAAAGGAGGGTTCTGAAACGATGCCTAAAATTATAAAAATAATGTTAAAAAAATGTGACTGACAATCTACTTACACAAGTTTAATAAAAAATTTGGTTTAGTGGCACCGATTTTTCTTGAAATTTTAAACAATTAGACGAATGACATTTCTAAGTGATGGTGATTACGTAGGTGTTTGAGAAGTGGCTTATTTTAGAGATTTTTTAGTTTTTTAGTTATTTTGATAGCTTATTTTAGTTTTGTATTTGGGAAAATGGGATAGATTTTTGTTTGAGTTGATGTATTAAAAAATGTGTTGAAATAATGTTTGAAGTTAAAATAACAAATTTGTTCCTAACTTTACATTTTTCAAAATTAATTTAAAGGGATAAAATTGTAATTAACCAACCTGTCACAGTAACAGTCCTACCTTGTCACTGTGATAGCCCACAACCGGCTTTTTTTAAAAAAAAAAAAAAAAAAATCAATGGTCTAAAGGGGCTAAAAGGCTTTTTTTTTTTTATTGTCGAGGCTAAAATAGCCTCTACCCACGCTTCCCAAACACTGCCTATATAAGGGTGTTGCTATTAGCATCTTATCAATTATTTTAAATTTTTATTTTTTTTGAATTTTCACTCATAAATTTAAAAATTTTTTTCTCCCCTCAAATAATATTAAAATTATGCTTGTGAAAATATTCTACCCATTCAATTAAATGTACACCCTCATACTCCAAAATGCCTCTCTTTTCAAAACCCACAAAGGTGATTACTATTTTATCTCCACATACTTATTCATGATCTGAGAAAATAAATATAAGATTTTTTGTTGTTGATTTAAAATTCTTCTTTTGTGGGTTTCGATTACCTGTTCCCAAACAAATGAACAATGTTCGGACATATATTCCCGAATTTCGGTCATATGTTCAGGAGTTCAATCTCGAAAAAATGACGAATATTTTTTTTATTATTTTTATCATTTTTTTCAAAAAACTTACCGCCAACCTCCTGTGAGCTAAGAACATCAAAATTATGAACCTCCTCTGATATTTTATTGTTGTACTCCTCTCGTCTTATAAAGTTGTGGTTGCCGGAAAAACTCTCACTTATTGTCATTGCTAGAGAAGATTAGCAGTTTAAACATATAAACATGAACAGATAATCAGACAATCGAACAGATAGAATGCAATTAACTAACATATACTCAGTCAATTCAGTTTCAATTTCAGTCAGTCGGTTCAGTATTTCATTCAGTTCGATTATCAGTTAGTTATCAGTCATTATCAGTTTCGTTTAACAGTAATCGGTGATTAACGGTAATCAATCGGTCATAAATCAGTAAACAGTACGAGGGTTGTTACATATATGTTCGATTACTTGTTCCCAAACAAATGAACAATGTTCGGACATATATTCCCGAATTTCGGTCATATGTTCAGGAGTTCAATCTCGAAAAAATGACGAATATTTATTTTATTATTTTTATCATTTTTTTCAAAAAACTTACCGCCAACCTCCTGTGAGCTAAGAACATCAAAATTATGAACCTCCTCTGATATTTTATTGTTGTACTCCTCTCGTCTTATAAAGTTGTGGTTGCCGGAAAAACTCTCACTTATTGCCATTGCTAGAGAAGGATAAGTAATCAAGTGGTTATCACCGTTATCGCCAGAATATTACTTCCAAAGGATTTTTAAGTTTTTAAGGGTGAGTAGGTTTTAAAGGTGAGATTTGAAAAAAATGGATGGGTGATGATGGAGATTGGTGCTTTCATAAATCCTAACTCATGATGTAGTGATTGTGTGAGCTTAATTGTGAGATAGGGAGTCCCAAAATTATTGATGTCATTTTTAGTAATTTCATTCGAGGTTATTATTGTAATAAAAAAAAACCAAAAAATGAAAAGTCCAAAATAAGAGAAATTTTATTTCCACACACCTAGTTAACTCAGGACACACATTTAATGAAATATTAATTTATGAAAAAATGATCATAAAAGACATCTAGCAATACCCATAATATTATATGAAAAAATTATCTGTACACATCTTTTAAGAACAAAAAAAATCTCAATGTACACATGGAGTTAAAAAAAAAGTAAACCTTAGTTTTTTCATTGTTGTTACATTGTTGGGAGAGACTTCATTTTTTTTTGGAGGGGGGGGATTCAACTGAAATTAACTAAAAAGATTGAAGAACTGGGTTGAGAATTGTTAACCAGTGAAGTACGGTCCTCAAAAAACCCGTGAACGTGCTCTGCTCTTTGGTTTATGATTGATTATTTTTGGTTTATCTTCTTATCAACATAAAATACTCTTTGATTTATGATTGAAAAATTGGGTTGAAGAAGTAAAATTAATTAAGAAAATTGAAGAACTCGGTTGAGCATTTTTTTTTAAATTTTTTTTATTAGACACAAAAGAATCATCTGGGGGAAGGAACCACTAGATGCTCATCGTCAGAGAGCACGGGGCTAATGCAAGAAAAGTGAAATGACAACTCTATTGCACTATGACTGATGGATTTAAGTCCAAGGCCTAATCAATCAAGTGGACAAAAGAGGAGAGAGAGCACCATTTCTGATTGGAATTGTGAGGAAGAACTAGGGTTGAGCAGTGGATATATCGATCTGTCAATATCGATCGAACCGAATCGATCTGTCGCATTTTAGACGGATGCGTGATGACAAGCGGACGGTTGCGGATTGATTTTCTCCAAGCCGCCAATTTGGCGGACGGATGGCGGATTTGAGGTTCCTTTGACAGCAACCGAACCGCCAAACCGCGAGCACCCTTAGTAATTTATAAGACTTTGTGTTTTCAATTTGTTTAAATATTTTGTTTGTGTTTTCAATTGAAAAGGAGTTCAAATATTCTGTTGAAAAAAAATTTTCAACTTGAATATATTTTTTGAATTGAAAAAAAATAAACGTATTATTTATCTATATTTTTTGGTTTTTAAATCTAACTCTAAAAGTAATAAATAGAAAATATGATATATGCTGGTTGGTTTTAGTTTTCAAAAACATTTATAAATGTAACAATACAGAGACATACAATCTCTACTATTGCTCTGTTCATGTTTTGGTGGTTTGAATTGTTTTTATATTTTAAGAATCACAGATTGTAATACTTTATGTGGATGAGACATGCTGTGATTGTAATATGTGGATGAGGCATGCAGTGATTGTGATAATCTAAAATTTAAAACTTTTTTTCTTTGAATGTGGCATGCAGTAATTGTAATACTTTTTTAAGTCATTGACTGTAATTTTTTTTTTGTTTTTGAGGAAGTGCACAAGTTGAACTATGTTGAAAATTTAAAAAATTTCAAACTACCAAACCGATTCGCATCCATCCGCCAAACTGCAAATAGAAAATATGATATATGCTGGTTGGTTTTAGTTTTCAAAAACATTTATAAATGTAACAATATAGAGACATACAATCTCTACTATTGCTCTGTTCATGTTTTGGTGGTTTGAATTGTTTTTATATTTTAAGAACCACAGATTGTAATACTTTATGTGGATGAGACATGCTGTGATTGTAATATGTGGATGAGGCATGCAGTGATTGTGATAATCTAAAATTTTAAACTTTTTTTCTTTGAATGTGGCATGCAGTAATTGTAATACTTTTTTAAGTCATTGACTGTAATTTTTTTTTGTTTTTGAGGAAGTGCACAAGTTGAACTATGTTGAAAATTTAAAAAATTTCAAACTGCCAAACCGATTCGCATCCATCCGCCAAACTGCCAATCCGCTCAATCCGCATCCGCCGGATTGGCGGATGGATGCGGATTGATTTTTTTCAATCCGCCAATCTGACGGACGGATGGCAGATTAAAAGTTCCGTGGCCGCAACCGACCCGCGCCCACCCCTAGGAAGAACGATCGAAATCAGGTGAGAAATTGAACAAGTTTGGATTAAAGGATAGGTTTGAACTGAATAGCCAATATTTGGAAGGAAAGACAATGGAAAGAGGGTTGAAAGGATGTTTGTACAATAATACGAGTGAAGGATATAATAGTATCCGATCAAAAAAAGGATATAATTGTATGTGTGGATTGAAAAAACAAATTAATAATTAAATTATAAAATGTGTGGACTGAAAAATGATGTGGATTGAGATAATTAAGTGTGTAGAAATAGAATTTTTTCCAAAATAACTGATGGATGCTAATAGCAGCATTCATATATAATTACCATTTTACTTTGTTATAAAATTAAATTGGAAAAATTAATGGACAAGAAATAATAACATTTAACATATGAAATCTGCCCAAATATTTACACGTAGAAGGTAGAAGAGATATTTTCTGAGACAACACTACCCTTGAGTCCTCTCACTATGGAACTACAACAGCAAGCCCAACTCACCGTCGGTCTCGGTCTTGCCTCTCTTTCACTGTCGCTCTCGCTTGCATCGACGGAACCACGACAGTCGCCCCTTCCCTTCTTTTTTTGGGTACGTCAGAAATAAATTGCCCCTTCCCTTCACTAGCACCAATCTATCTACTAGGCAAATAACATGCAACAAAACAGAAATAATTATTCTGAAAATATTCAATAAAACATGAAATACAACCAATTGTAACAAACTACTGCCTTCCGATACAACCAAATTAAGCAAATCACATGCACTTTTTTTTTTTTCTTTTTTCTTTTTTCTTTGTGTGCGCAAATTGTGATATTCCATCAAAAATTTTAACTCAGTTGACGGCTTTGGGACAGCATGAGAGGAAATCCAAAACTTTACAGGAGGGACAGAATGAGAGGAAAAACACTTAGAAAAGTTTCTCAATATACATAACACGACCTGAACAAAATTCTAATCTCTCCAAAAATGTATATTCACAAAAAATAAATAAATAGATTGATAAATAAAAGAACACAACAGTAGACATAGATGCCGTTAAAAACATCAGCAATTTATTGGTTATGCGGATAAGTTTACATCCTTTCCAAAAAATCAGGAAAGTTTGTTTCAGGAAACACAAGAATATGAAGTTACATAAAGGTACAAGAACCCCTTTTGTTCCTAACCTTCACGAGGCGTTTCAGACATGGGGCATAGTTCACTTACAGGTTTAATGGGGATATCAGATGATAAAAAATAACCAATAATTTAAAGTTGTGCCACCATCACAAAGAAGATTCCTTCCACTGTAATCTGTTGAGTCCATCAACAATTGCTTTGCGAAACTCTCCATTGTGAAGAAGGAAGGATGAGACGTGGCCCCCAGTAACCCATCTCACTTCTGAGCCAGGCCAAGCTTTTTGAAGCTCCAACACTGAGTGCTTTGGGATGTACCCATCATCCTGGAATGCCAAGGAAGAACATGGACCCAACAGAAATCAAGGATCCCTATAATCTGTGTGGTTTTAAATATAATGGGAATGTAGATAATCATCCAACATCTTAGTCTTCTTAAGTAAAAATCAGTAGAAAACAGTGAGATCCAGCACTTACAGTGGCAGCAACAAATATAACAGCATTGGGATTTTTGGGTATTGGAAATCGAGTGACATCTGTGAGAGATAAAACATTTCGCATTCGCTCTCTCACTTCTTCGAGAGTCATTGCAGCCTTCTGCACGGCGAGATCTTCTCTCAATGCCTCCCATGCAGTGGCATACTTTAATATCCCTTCACAGAATGCCACAACAGCAGAGTGTGGAGAAAGAAATGGTAGTGTAGCAATAGGTGTAGGGTGCAAAGATCCAACCATAGCAGCATGTACTCCCCCTAAATACCATAGAAGCATGAGATTAAAAAAGAAAAGAAACAGAAAATGTGCCCTCACACCCACTTTGCAGTTTCCAGGACAGTAGCAACCACACAAACACATTGTTTAAGGTCCTTGTTTTCAAAAGGGCCTCAGTTTTTTCTAGAACTTCAAGCCATTATAATAGGAATGCATAACAATGAAGCTATTGCTTCCTTTTATTTTCATTTTCCTCTTTTCATTCTTGATTCATGTATGGTCAAGCTAAAAAAATGGTTAACGAATCAATTCCAGTTTGACTGAACAAAGTACAATAAAAAGAAATAAAATTCTTGGATTTTGAAGAGGACCTATTATCTAATAATACATTAATCCACAACCAAGGATAAGATTTAAGTTTTACCCATGCTAAGTCCACAAACACCCATCTTGCCAAACCCTGCCTCAGTGTCTAGCCAATATAAAAGACTGCGGGCCTCTTCGATGGTGACTCTTCCTAGTAACAGCAAGTCACTCACGCACAAGAGTTTTGAACCACGCTGAAGCATTGGACGCCTTTGTCCATAAAAAGGACTGCAACAAAAATTACTTCGAGTAAAAAAACCACTAAGATTTGTGAAGTAATCAACATAAATTCTGCTTCCACTTTCAAGCAGAAGATAACTTCGCAGGATCAGTTCTCACCTCTCAAGCACCATGGTTGCTATATTTTCCTTCAATAAAGGGCCTCCAAGACGCAATCTCCGCTCAAAAGTATGGTCCCCAGTGCCTGCAACAGAAGGCATATAATTTTTAACAAACTATCTGAGTTTAACTTTCCATCATTAAAAACAGATTTCTCTGAATATTTTAAAGTAGGATCTCCCAGAAACAGATGAATTAAGATTGGGGAAATATCACATCAGTGTATATTTCAAAAAGTAATTACAATCAGTGGAAAACTTCATAAATATTAATAATTAAATTTATCAACTTTTTAATGAATTTGTATTTTTTTTTTTTTTCTGCCTCTCACTGGGGTGTAATTCCCCCATTGGGTATAGATTAAGAATGTAATGTAACTCATAGCTAGAGTGGTGAACATAGGAATCTATTATTTTAACCATCCAGAATAATTTAGAAATGAAAAACTGCTCTTTTTAACATATCATTAAACAAACAAACAAACAAACAAAAATCTCTAGAAAGCAACAAATATTACTGCTAAAGAGAAACAGATGAAAGCATAATTGTCGTTTTGGATGTATGGAATTATATGCAATGGTATGAGAATTTAGCAAATATTGATAATGTACTCACAACACTAAATTCATGCATTGATCATGAATTACTAAATCCTTCACCATAGGGTAGAATTACATAATTCATACACTCAGAGCAAAAGTTTCAATCAACCAGAAGGATTACATACCTACTAAACAATCTCCTTGTCAAGAAATATATTTAATCTGAACCCAATAATTTTAGAAGTAACGCCTCCCCCCTTCTCCCACCCACCCAAATATACACTAATACACATGCACAGAAATATCTCTGAGCTTCTTAATGTTTCCTTCCTCTTATAAGGTTGATGAGTTAAATATATACCACTCTATCCAGGAAGAGAAGGCCATTATAATCATCTCATTCAGTGAATATCTCCCGGTTAGCTTGGCAATTACGTGGTGTGAGCTCTGGGTACTAAATAACCAAGGGACTTAGAGATCTCCATCCCCTCATCAACTCCTTCGTCTAGAATTATCCCTAAAAATTCTCCAGCACTAAGCAAAACAAGCATAAATAAATACCTCCTTCAATTTTCCTATCTAAATCCACACATAAATTAGTCCTCAAACATCAAATTTCTACAAACTTAACAACAATCTAACAAATCTGAAAACTTGGCTGAAGGAACAACATAGAAGCTTATGTATGTAAAAATTAACCAGTCAAGACTAGGCTTCTCTGAAGCACAAAAAAAAAAAAAATTATATACAAGCAAACAAACGACTCTTTAAATTCTCAATTAAAGATGCAGAAATAGATAGGGCATCATCAAATTTGAATGTCTATCAATTTAACTGCAATCCTCCATAATTTTCAAGATCCGATCACAAGCTACAAATTTTACCTGCAAGATGAACCACACAGGCCATCTTTTGCGGCGGCACGAATTTAGGGGAAAGAAAAGCAACCCTTGCATTGTGACTTTCAGGAGGCAATGCACTTAAAAGCTGCTCATCACAAGGTGTCCTGAAAACCCCTTCCCTCAAACAAGCAGTCTTGGTTTCCCAAACTGTTCTCCAAATGGGTTGAACCAAAACAGGAGGCCAGTTCTGTCCTTCAACCTCAGGGAATAGCTGTTTGATCAATTTCTCTAAAAGATCAAGTTTTGTTCCACCCCATCCTCTCGAAAAAAATGGTGGGCTTATCTTTGTTCTATGAACAAAAGCACCATATACATGGTCCAATACATAATGAAGCAACCCTAGATTGACAGTAACCATATTTGAGACAAAACCCAGTTATTGAATCAATCAAGCATCACAAAAAGATTCGATTTTCAATTAGTTTCTAGCGATTTGAAACAAACCCAGAGAGGAATAGATGAATATAAGCTCAAAAACTCTAGTTTTGACGACCCAGAAGTCAAATCAGATAGAACATATCAAAAGATGAAAAAAAAAAAAAGATTAGATCTGATGGATTCCGCACTGAAAGATGGATTAGAAACAAATAAATAAAGATTGACCGCAAGGATCGATTACTCCGTAGACAGACATTAGCATTGAGAGATAATCTAGAGGACAAACAAGAGAGATATTAGAGAAGACTCGGTGTGAGGATCGAGGGAAATCGATGAGGGAGAGAGATGTGGAGAACGAACATTGCGATCCCGAACAAAACTATGTGCGGATAAAGAAGGAATTAGGATCCTCTCCTTCTCCTTGCACTCTTTTCTTGTCTCCTTGTAAGGACGGAGATGTATTTTAAGATGATTGAAGTTTAGATTTGATTATTTTAAAATTAAAAAGAAAATTATTTTTTAAAATAATCATATCTAAGCCGTTAGATTATTTTAAGGTGCATTTATACCATTACATGTAGGAATGCAAGGAGAGAGTGCAAGCAGTGGATATGGACTCAGAAAGAAGAGTGTTTTTTGACACGGTGGATTTGAATTAGTTGGACCCACTTTTGCCAGCTCAGCCTATCTGTTTATTGTGCTTTTGTTACTTATTTTTATTTTGGGCAAATTACCTTAACAGTGTTTATAGTTTAGGATACGTTTCATTTTGATTTTTGACTTTTTAATTGTGATACATTTAATTTTAAATTTTAAATTTTATTTTAAATAAGAATAATTAAAAATATCATTATTAATTTTAAGAACAAAATTGTCAATTTAATAAAATATAAACTAATTTGATAAAAATAAATATTAAAAAAATATTTTTAATTTTTTAAAATTATTTTTATCCACCAATGATAAAATTATGTAAAACTGACAAAAATTATTAAAAATTACATTAAAAAGAATATTTTAAAATTAAAAAGAAAATTATTTTTTAAAATAATCATATCTAAGCCGTTAGATTATTTTAAGGTGCATTTATACCATTACATGTGGGAATGCAAGGAGAGAGTGCAAGCAGTGGATATGGACTCAGAAAGAAGAGTGTTTTTTGACACGGTGGATTTGAATTAGTTGGACCCACTTTTGCCAGCTCAGCCTATCTGTTTATTGTGCTTTTGTTACTTATTTTTATTTTGGGCAAATTACCTTAACAGTGTTTATAGTTTAGGATACGTTTCATTTTGATTTTTGACTTTTTAATTGTGATACATTTAATTTTAAATTTTAAATTTTATTTTAAATAAGAATAATTAAAAATACCATTATTAATTTTAAGAACAAAATTGTCAATTTAATAAAATATAAACTAATTTGATAAAAATAAATATTAAAAAAATATTTTTATATTTTTAGTTTTAAATTTTTTGATTTAATGGATTGGTTTAGTAATGATATCAAAGCTGTTACCATAGAAACTAATTTAATGAAAATAAAAACAATCACCCATTACATGGTCATCATCCAAATACATAATAAAAATTAATTTGGTAAAAAAATAAATAAATGTCAAAAAGATTTATTAATTTTACAAAATTTTATTTTTAGTGGATAGAAATAATTTTTAAAAATTCAAAAATATTTGTTTAACATTTATTTTTGTCAAATTAGTTTATATTTTATCAAATTGACGATTATGCCCTTAAAAAATCTAATAATATCTTTAATTGTCTTTATTTGGAACAAGATTTAAAATTTAAAGTCAAATGTGACACAATTGAAAAGTCAAGGATTAAAATGACACAAGTTTTAAACTATAGAGATTATTAGTGTAATTCACCCTTTTATTTTTATATTTTTTGGCGAAGGTATAATTATTTATGGGGTCTCATAAAAAATAAAAAATAAAGATAAGATATAATTTAATGAGGTAGGGTTTAAATTTTTTTTTTTTTTGAAAAAATAGGAAATTAATTTTAAAATATAAATACATTTCAACCATGACTAAGACGTGAAAAAGAATAAGAAAAATGCTTGGGAGCACTAATTAGTGCTTCCACTAATTAGGTGGCAGTGGGTCCCGCCATTAATGATGTGATGTTTTGGTCTTGGAGTTGTGTTTTTTTTTTTTTTTTTTACTTTTTTAATGCATTAGTGCTATTAGTGGTGATATTTTTAGTGGGATGAATCATTGTTGAAAGAATAAAGTCTCGCTTAGCAAGTGTTGGATTTTAGTTAAAAAATTAAAAAATTATCAAAAAAATTAAAAAACTAACAACTTATATAAAAAAAAATTATCAAAAAAATTAAAAAACTAACAACTTATATAAAAAAAAAAGTCAAAATTTTTATTTTCTCTCTATTTTTCACATATTTTTTTATAAAAAATTAAAAAATTATTACAAACATATTAATTTTTTTATCTTATATTTTAATTAAAAAATTAAAAAATTATTAAAATAATTTATTCTCAAACGAGGTTTAAAAGTACGTAAAATCAAGTCACAACTCATGAGTTTGGGTTTGATTAGCCTCTAATCTAGAGGACACACGAGAGATATTAGAGAATACTCGGTGTAAGGATCGTGGGAAATCGATGAGAGAGAGAGATGTGGAGAACGAACATTGCGATCCGAACAAAACTATGTGCGGATAAAGAATAGTGTTTTTTTGACACGGTAGATTTGAGTTAGTTGGACCCCACTTTTGCCAGCTCAGACTATTTGTTTATTCTGTTTTTGATACTTATTTTTATTTTTATATTTTTTGGCGAAGGTATAATGATTTATGGGGTCCCATAAAAATAAAAATAAAAATAAAAATAAAAAAAGAAAAAAGAAAAAAGAAAAAAATGATAAGATTTAAAGCTTACCTAATTTAATTATTTTTTTAATTTAATGAGGTAGGGTTTAAATTTTTATTTTCTTTTTGAAAAAATAGGAAATTAGCGTTAAAATATAAATACATTTCAACCATGACTAACACGAGGAAAATATGGGCTATTTCGGAAAGTGAGTTAAAAGTTACTTTTCAGTTTTTATCCCGCTTTCCTCTCTCACAAAAAAGTAAAAAAAAAAACTAAAAAACATCTTTTAACCATCTTCTTAAAACACCCCTAAGGCCTCATTTGGCAAGTGATAATTTTAGTCAAAAAATTAAAAAATATCAAAAAAACAAAAAAGTTAATAATTTATACTAAAGAGTCAAAAAAAATATTTTCTCTTTATTTTTTATACATCTTTTCGTAAAAAATCAAAAAATCATCACAAATGAGACCTAAGAATAATATGTTCCCAAATGAAACCTAAGAGTATATAAAATCAAGTCACAACTCGTGAGTTTGGGTTTGATCAGCCTCTAACCATGACTTCTAAGATAATGTTTGATTCGAAACCATTTAAGTTTTTTCAATTTTAATTGAGCAAAAATGACTAATCAAGACCATGAGTTTGGTTCAAGAGTCTCTAACCCTGACTTCTAGAGTAATATTTGGGTCGAGATGATTTAAGTTTGATCAATTTTGATTGTTTAAATATGATTGCAAAAATGACATCATCTTCTAAAAAAGATACTATTATAAACCTTAAGGGGTTAGATTAGTAGACACAAACTGTAATAAATTCTTTGAAGTCAGTTCATATAGGACATTTACTTTAGCTTTAAATAAAGTATCATAAGTAGAGTGGGTGTATAAACTGACTCGAACACTCAATTATTAAAATTTATACATATCTATATAATAAGGGAAGAGGGTTTTTAAAAATATATACAAGGGCAAATTACACAAATAGTCTCTATAGTTTGGGACTTGTATTACTTTGATTCCTGACTTTTCAATTGTGACACATTTGATCCTGAATTTTGAATCTTGTTTTAAATAAGGACAATTGAAGATATCATTAGATTTTTCAAGGGTAAAATTGTTAATTTGATAAAATATAAACTAATTTGACAAAAATAAATGTCAAACAAATATTTTTGAATTTTTAAAATTATTTCTACCTACTTAAAATAAAATTATGTAAAATTGATAAATCTTTTAGACATTTATTTATTTTTTTTACTAAATTAATTTTTATTATGTGTTTAGATGATGATTATGTAAAATTAATTTTAAAAAATTAATCATGTAATTTTTATTAATTTTACATAATTTTATTATTGGTGGATAAAAATAATTTTTAAAAAATTAAAAATATTTTTTTGACATTATTTTTTTCAAATTAGTTTATATTTTATTAAATTGACGATTTTACCATTGAAAAATCTAATGATATTTTCAATTGTCTTTATTTGGAACAAGATTCAAAATTCAGGGTCCAATGTGTCACAATTGAAAAGTCATGGACCAAAGTGACACAAGTCCCAAACTATAGGGACTATTAGTGTAATTAACCCTATAAAAAATGTATTAGAGATACATTTTGATTTAATGGCTGAGATTAGTCCTAAAAGTATATTAACGGTACAGATCAATGTGATTTCCGCTCAAACATCTCTCCCTCGGCCTTCCACCTATCCACGTCTCTCTCTCCCTCACACCCATATCTTCTCCCCACCTCTCTGTTCTTCTTTTTTCCTCTTCATACTGACACTGCTCGCTTCTCTCCTTATAACCCCCCCTCATCGCTCGGCTTGCAAGGTAAGATGTCCTCGATTTTTATCTCTCACATTCTCCTTCTGTTTCGATTTCTGAAATGTCTTTTTGTCTGTTCGATACTTTGGCGCTACTTTCGAACTCTCTCTCTATTGGGTGAAGGAGATTCCAAGATTCAAAGTGAAGAACCCTAATCGTGAGTGAATTAAAACCTTAATTTCACTTAATTCTGAGGAATCCTTGACTGCTACTAATTGTTTGATTATTGATTCTATCTTATTTTTTGAATCCATAAGTGTAACTCCCACAGCTTCTATGATAGATTGGGGTAAATAGGTATTTAATCGTCTGGTTTAACATTATATTGAAGCATTTTTCACTTCTTCATCCCCACCCCCTGGCAGACATAAAAAGATATGCACAGTTCAGTGAGTTGCATATTTCACTAATCACAGAAAACATGATTTGGCTACCATTGTGAATATAGTTTGCATGTGTAATTTTCTTTTTATTATATTCTTGATTTGTTGAGTTATATGAGTGTCTCACAATTTGCATAAACATCAGTTCTGAAAGGTCTCTTCTAAAAGTTCTTGATTTGTTACGTGTAATTTGCTTTCTACTCTCACCATCTGTCTCCCAACAAAACAATTTCAATTGCACATGTTATGTTATGTATAGATATTTTAGACAAAGGATCAAAACTAAAGTGTTGAATTTAAAAACAGTATTAGAGTGGTTAAGATGATTTTTTTCCATAATTTTATCCTCTTATCTTGTTATGGGCAATCATT